TCCATAACAAACAAACAAGAAGTCAACTAAAACCTCAAGTTTTAGCTGAAACACGTATTTCAATTTGCGATGGATAAACTTAAAGTTTGTCATTTGTCAAAACTTCCTTCCAGAAAACTGACAATAATTATAATCTCAATAGGAAAGCGCAAGTTACCATCTGTATATCTTATTTTCATTTGTTTTGTGGAAGAGGGGTAGCAGCCTCTTAGCTTGGACAAATTGTCATGAATTTAAAACACCATTAAAATTATATGCAATATAGTTTTCAAAAAAGTGGAAAGTGTCCAAGGATTTTATTCATTTATTTATTATTTTCCATTTGTTCTACGGAATATTTTTTTTCACAGTGTGAAATATTAAATATTTCATTTATGTTACAAAAAACACAGAAAATTTGAATTAGAGGCAGGGATGATACTTCTAGTAAAGACTACATGAAAATTTCTGTTGTGTTTTAAGAATGCTGTATGTGTGTGTTTTGCATCTCTGTGTTTGTAACTATGTTTTTGATGATGCAATAGAGGTCCTTTCATAATTGCTATGGGTAAGACATGGTGCCCTGATCACTTTCACTGTTCTAACGCCCAATGTCGCCGTCCCTTGCAAGATGTGGGTTTCGTCGAAGAACAGAGCCAGATGTACTGTGAATCTTGCTATGAAGCTTACCTGGCTCCAATCTGCGCCAAATGTGGAAAACGTATTAAAGGGGTAAGATTCTGAAAACAGTTAGTTATCTCAGTGTTGTAATAGAAAAGTAACTTCCTGTAATAAGGCAGAAAGGCAGCTTACATTGATGTAGACCTCTCCATGGCATTATATGATATTTATATAACAAGCATATGGTTGATAATATGTCCTGTTTTAACGATCTGAAGCTACTTCAAACAGAAGTGGTTTTTAACCATTGCTTACTAGTGTTAAAGATCAAGATTATCACTTAGACCGATTAAAAGGCAGGCGCCTAAAATGTGCACCAAAACTTTATCAATTCTCAAACTGTTTCTAAAAATATGAAGCTTATCAGATTTTGCGTAATAATTACAATGAATTTTCGAGATTTTCCTGTTGTTGTTGTTATTTTAATTGCAATTTGTGACAGAAAAAAACAGTTTAAGTAGCTTTTTTTTTCATATTGTCTTTTTTTTTGTAGTATGTATGCATGATATATTTTTAAACAACAGTTGATATCTTTTACTAAGTTCATACATTTAGTCGCCATGGAAACAGCTTTATGAAATAAAAAAGGCAGAAATTTTTACAAAAATCTGACTAACAATTCTACAGTAATGTATTGAAGTAGTTGTCGCAGTTTTATAAAAAGTGACTATGGCACTCAAATGTCATGGCGGCGACCGATTTTGGAGTTGTCAATCGGAAAGAGTGGTGGTCTAAAATGATAGTAAATGTAACGTTCTATAACTTATTTTTAATCTCTGACGGTTTGTGAATTTTACACACACAAAAAAAACAAGCTTAAGAAAACTGCAACTAAGTATGAAGCCTTAATTTTATTTTATGAAAACTTCGTCTAAACTAATAATAAGAAAGCAGAAGCTTACCAAGTCAACTAGAGATGAGTTTTCAACGTTCCGACATACAATTTAGTGAAGCTATACAGCTACATTCTAGCTAATTGTTGTCAATACTAAAAAAAAATTATATTTTCCTAGTTACTTTAAGAACGTCTATTAAAAACGTAAACTAGGTGTAAGCTCAGAAAATAATAAGTCGCATTCATTTCATTCAACTATATTCAAACTATAACTTCACCACGAAGACTAGTTTTACATTACTTCTAAAATAGGATTGTGTCAGTTAGAAATGTAATCCGTTATCAATCCTGTCAAACAAATATGCTTGTTTTCTGATTAGCATGATTTCTTAACAGTACTGTTTGTAATCACAATCACAGACCTAGTGTCACCGTCTACTATTTTAAAACCAGGATTCAGTTGAGCCAGCTTTTGTTTGTTTCTTACAAGTTGTACAGAATCATGTAGTAGTACGTTATATGTAGCTCTTCCAATAACTTTACCATTAATGTGTTGATTTTTTTAGCTGACTGGGGCCACGAATTGGTTTATTGAGAAAAAAATATATATATACTTATTTTGTATGACGTCAGTAACATGTGTTTTTCATCTCACCTGTTAAAGTAAGCAATGATCCCACGTCGTGTTGATGTACTTCCCTTGATTACTTAAAGTGAAAATAAGTTGATTCCTTCATGGAATGGAAAGATGAAATCAACACTGTTAATTATATGGTTTAGGATGAAATGTCAGATCAGTGAATTAACTGAACTTGTCTCGATCTGGAACTCAAGGGCTTTGGATGACAAAAAGTACAGATTTGGGTCTCAGAACGTGATATGTGGGCTCATATAAAATCTGTTTACCATCAAAATAACGAGAAAAAAAATCGCCAGTTATATATCACGAGATTTAGTTTTATTAACTCCACTTTCCACACATACACATTTAGTCTGTGTTATTACTTTCTTATTAGTTGCCCTTCTATTGGATTTATCACTGAAATAGTCTCAGTATTATGCAGTTCCACATCACATTAATTTTGTTGAGCGAAATACACCTAATATTTCAGTATACATGTAGCATATATCTTGTGAGATTTTAAAATCCGCCCATACTTGAAAACATTTAAAGTATTTGTTAATAAAAACTTCCCAGTGAAAACAAGGAATGATGTATAGTAATAATATGCCAATTACATTATATCTGTCGTATCCACTGCCGAAGAAGCCTTTCGTCTAACACCAGCGATCCTCAATTCGGCTGGGATACGACAGACATAGTACTGGTTAAGACGCTTTTTATATTAATAAATTGCTTAACAACAACTGTTACAGTTTGTATAAATGAATAATGGCATACCTGACGAACTCTAAAACTATTTTAAAAGCGCAAGCAGTAACAGCTAAACAAATACTGGACTTTTCGTTAAAAACATGCAACTACCAACAAAGTTTTTCACAAATAATAAATTTCTTCCGAAACTTAAAGAAAACGAGTAGAAGTGTTTCAGAATGTTGGATGTACTAGAAATGTCAAGCATATCGTATTCTACTGGTTTTTAAATAATGAAGGGTGGAAATGCCATAAGGCTTTAAACATTTTAAAGTTTGAACCTAAATTCCACCCTTGAAATGATCGTTGCAAGCATGATGTTAAACCACTGAAATACATGTATTTGGTAACTACCTGATCGGTAACTTTTCGACTAAATAATGAGAAAACGAGGAATAAAATTCGTATAATATTAAAGTACAAGATTATGAAAGCTTAATTGGTGAATATTAAGTATAACTTGCAGTCTTATGCATACTTGACAGTTTGTCAACAATTTCTGTTTCTTCATCTATTTTTAAGGATTGCCTGAATGCCCTTGACAAACAGTGGCATCCTGATTGTTTCATCTGTAATTATTGCAAACAACATCTGGGTAACGATCCTTTTTACATTGAGGATGGGCTAGCATATTGTGAAAAAGGTAAGGAATATTGATATAAAAATGCGCTAGAATATTATACAGAATTTTATATAGTTCTGACTATTTCTAAACTTGTTATGACCACCTTTGAGTACGTTCTTTTTCAGCAGCAAAAATTAAACATAAACTCTGGATCACAATGTTTAATGAATTTAAATCATTTTGAAAAGCAAGTAGTTAATATTAGATCTTAAATTCAGTGCAAAGTTGGACAACAAGTCTCAGCTTATTTTTATATTTTTCCATACTTAATAGTTTTTCGCATATATTTTTTACAGAACAGGTTAACAGTTTGGAAGCTAACGAAGAGAGCCGTGTTTTAAAGTTAATAAAGCAAAAGTAGTAATACTCTATGAAAACAATGAGCATTCCTGTGGATATTCCATATCATAAAAATACTACAAGTATAAAGAGAAAAACATAAATAATTATTATATCTACAAATGCTTCATTAAAAAGAACATTATCATATTTTTTTAAAAAACCTATTGAAATAAAAAAATCAAGTTAAATGGGATAGCTTTAAAATGGATATACAACAAGGTCAGAATTAAAGTATAATTTATTGTTTAAACTTCTGTACCCATATTAAGGTGGATTCGATCATCAACCATGTTGATACATGTTAAAATATTCAAAAATTTCATGCTTTTAGATATATTTGTTTCTCCTTTTTTTGCAGATTGGAAAGAACTTTTCACTAACAAGTGTATAAATTGTGGGTTTCCTATTGAAGCTGGAGACCGCTGGGTAGAAGCCTTAAACAACATTTACCACTCCCAGTGCTTCAAGTGTTCTGTAAGTGATTTTAAGTTTAAGAGGCTAACTAGATCACGTGAGATGGTAGGTTTTTAGCCTGAGTGTGAAAACAACATCTGTGCTTTTAGAATTATCATAATTTACAGCCCCGACCCTATTAGTGTTGGGCCTTTCGTCATGCAATTTTCCACGTGCAGGTTTTCTAGCTTGAACAGAACTTCATACGCCCAGCCATTAATAAATGCTCATTATCACACGCGGGTATGAATATGATAACGTTCAGAAGCATTGCATAAATTTTTCAAAATACTTTGATCAAATTTTTGATATTCAGTTACAAAGTTTAAAACTTACTAATATACTAGCAGAACTTACTAATTAATGATGTATTTATTTATGCCTACAGAGAATTTTATTCACAAAAAAATAATAAAAACAAATGGAAATATTTTAAAATAACTGACTAGAAAATTGTGTTCTTGAGGCACAATTGTCTCTGTGAGTTTTTAAAAAGCATACGATAATTCGCTAAAGATCAGAGCAGGCAGAATTAAACTTTATTCAGATAATGGTGCTGGCTGAGAAAGATATCTTTACCTCGTGTAAAAGATCATCTGTCTAAAGAAGCGTTAAGATATAAGCAGGCAGAATAGAAAGTTATTCAGATAACGGTGCTGGCTGAGAAAGATATCTTTACCTCGTGTAAAAGATCATCTGTCTAAAGAAGCGTTAAGATATAAGCAGGCAGAATGTAAAGTTATTCAGATAATGGTGCTGGCTGAGAAAGGTATCTTTAGCTCGTGTAAGATATCAACTACCTAAACGAGCAGGCAGAATGAAACGTTATTCAGATAATAGCGATGTCCGAGAAGTACTTGAAAAAAATATCTATACTTTTTTCTATTTTAATCTGAATTCTTAACGAATTATTTTGGAATATAAATATTGAATTCCCTCATGCACTTACTTGATTCCTGATGGAATAATCGATAACATTACCTCATTACATTGCTCTAATTGGCTTCTTCAGAATAATTTTTACATTTCGATATAATCTGTCTTACGTTGCGCTTATTCCATATCAGTCAGACTTTGTTACCACTTTTTGTTTATATATCTAGTAATCTATTTATTGATCAATCTACAACACTACAACTCTAATGATATTGTGCAATTTATGTTTGTTTCAGGCATGCCACAAAAACCTCGAAGGTCAAACTTTCTACACAAGCCGAGATGGACGCCCTTATTGCAAAGCACATGTGCGATAACTGATAACGATACCACCTATATGGATGTTCAAAGCAGAATGAAGTGTGATTAATTTAAAAACAATACGTGCTGCAGATAACGCGTTGATTCTTTGCCAAAATGTTTTGTTGTTGTTGTTGTTTTCTTGACAATTTGTGTGTGTGTTCAAATACTTTATTGTGGTGCTACTCTTTATATGTATAGGCAGTATAGAATAATCATTGATAATTTGTTTTTAAGACATAATCAAAATATTCTGATATTATAGAAACTTGTAAGATCAGTGGATCGAATAATGGATCTTGTTGTATTGATTCAAAGCACTTAAATATTTGTACATATGATATATGAAATTTTAAACTGTTCCTGTGGTGTTACAACTGTGAGATTTTGATTAAGATTTTTTGATTTTATTTAGCATAAAATTTCTAAAGTAGATTTAGAAAAATAAACTTGATTTGTTATTTAATTTCTTTAGTGAATATTGGTGTATAAAAGACAACTTAATGCTAGAAATAAACGCCCTTATAACACTAAATTTATTAATTTCCTTTAAATGGACATTCAGCGTTTCGCTCTACAGCTTCTTCATGAGCATTCCACTAAAACACAAACCGTAATTGACAGTACAAAAGTTCAAATGGTTTAAATAATAAATTTTAATAGAATCTATAGCGCGCATTTCCACAGTGTGTGTTTGAGATATACGTAGTAAAACTTATTATTTAATTTCTGTAGTGCATATTGGTGTATAGAAGACATATTAATACTATTAATAAACGACCTTATAACACCAAAATGTAGTTTTGTTATTAAACACTCAACGTTTCGCTTTACAGTTTCTTTAGAAACGTTCACTAAAACACAAGCCAAAACTGACACTACAAAGCTTCGTACAGTCAGTTTTGGTTTGTGTTTGAGTGAACGCTCCCGAAGAAGCTGTAAAGAGAAATGTTGATTGTCTAATTAAAAAAAAACACTACATTTTGGTGTTATAAGGTCATTTATTTCTGGGCCCGGC